AAACTGTTTGATTTTATTTATTTTCAGGCTTGAATGGTCAGAGTTATTTAGAATTTGTTCTTAAAATTCATAACTATTTAAACTATGCTATTGAAAATAATTTATGATTTTTTAATAGCACAGTTCTGTGCAAGATGCATCTCATAGAAATATACTTGAATCCCAACGATCAAATAATACAAGTCATATAAATTAATTTAATTAAAACGCCTATCTAACTAAAACACTAAAATATATATATATATATTGAAAATATTATCAAATTTAAAGTGATCTTAAGATCATTATTATCATCAAAAAAACGTTATTTACAAAATCGCAAAATGTACACAAATTATTTATAATCATATTTAATTATTTATGCTTTCCAAAATAATTATTTTTCTCACGAACTTTTTTTCTCGGATTACTTTCTTATTATAAAATCGTACTAATTATCGTACTAATATTTTACATTATAATAAATAAATATTCAACCCCAATTTTTAGCAATTATTAATCTTTTTTTGATTAATCCAGATGCTCACTCGATGTACCGGAGTGGTGGTAACAGTAGTTATGTCCGGGTGAAACAAACGCTCGACATCTCCTGCCATTTCTCGTTATTCCCATACAAGGTATTTTCAGCATCGGAGTATTACTGAAAACATTCTTTAGCTATTTTATGATTTCCTCTTTTTTAAAATAATTTTTCTGACGACAATTATTTATTTACCTTCTAGTTCGCGGCAAATCCATGTTATACCGAAAATGCTCAAACTTTCCTGTATCATTAAAATCATTTGTGTTATAATCGTTATGATCTGTGAAATAATTATCTTGATACTGCCATGACGTTACACTGTCGATAGAAGAATCACATTCTATCAGTCCTTTTGTTAGTGCAGACTGTAAGTGAATAATGTCCTCACGTTTCTTCCTGGATGGTTGATATGAACAAGAGAGCTCCTCATGCGCATTTAAATTGCGTCCACCCCATGAAGCGACTGCCTCTAACAAGGCATTAAATTTCCCTGAAAAAATTATCGGATATTGTAATAATCAAACCATTTCTCTCGCTTAATTTCAGTCTTAAATAGAAGAAATACCTCTGAAATTATTTATTTGCGAAACACTGAAATTGTACAGTTTTCGCACTTTACTCATTAATCTTGTGTGTAACTGCATTTTTGGTACGGAATTAGAATTCGACGAAGATGTGTTGTCATGTCCAATTCCATTCGCATAGCCTTTTTGTTGATGAATCAGCTTAATCAACTCCGTCTTCGCTTCTGGGATGTTTGGTCCGATTATACGTTGTATTCCCAGCATTAAAAAATGCACTGTGTTAAAGAAATAAACATCAAACGTCAATGTAATATACCAAGTATTCGTATTACACAATTACTTTCTTGTTTTCTATATTTATTTTAGAAACATTTTATCACACGTTTTAATATACTCACTTCCAGTAATCAAGAATATTAAGACCGTTATAGATGTAAAATCTAAACAAGCTTCCATGCCCTGTTTCAAGTAAGTTACAAGATTCGCTGGTATAATGCCCATGATAGTAGCTCTGGTTAAAAAAGGAGCTTGTAAAAATGCGGCGATTATCATCGCCACTAATAAATATATAACGTGTAAAAATATGCGATATGCTCTTTGCATTTGTTCACCTAAAAATACAGAAATAAATATATTGCATTATTAACATATTCCAGTTAACCTAATATTTTTTTTCAAACAAAAGTTTTTAACCTAATGATCATAACATAATTAATTTAACAAAATTCTTTTTACACAATTGTTGAATTAGATCGCTTTCTTATAAAACAAATATATCTTATACCAGTATCGCCGATGTAATCAGTAATCCATCCCAATTTTTGGTCTACTTCCAAGCGCATTGTATTAGTGAGATTCCAAATGTACTGGATGGTATCGTTAATTTGCGTGAGCATCTGCATCGTTTGCTCGTATTGGTGGATAGTTTCCTCATGTTGTTGTAACAAATGATTTGTGCTTTGTTCGATTTTCTCCCAGATCATTTGCGCTTGTTCTTGTATGGTAAATAAATCCTGCAATACCTCCTTATGATTTTCTCCACGTTCAATAGTCTGTTGCTCGAAATCTTTATGTGCCTTTTCTGAAGAACATATTAAATATATTCAGAATTTCTACGAAAGAGAATTTTTATAATAGTAAAACTATGTATAAAAAGTTTGATTTACTAACCTAATTTGTTTTTTATTTCTTCCGTCATGGCAGCAAGCTGAGCGTGGCCAGATCGTATTAACGCTTTTTCATTATACAACTCTCTTAGATTTGTTGTTACAAGATTGTGAGCTGTTGCCTGAGCATCCTTCAAGTTTTCTTGTTGTGACAAAAGTAGCTTGTTTTTTTCAGTTAACGATAATAGAGCTTCCGTTGTTTGTTCTTCCAGACGATCTTGACCGTGCTATTTAAAACAATTAGTATAATGCCTCAGTTAAAGAATGAATCAAGAAATATATTGAAGAAACATATAAGGAAGAAATGTAATTACCTTCAAGGAATTCAATGCCTTGATTTGAGAATGCGCAGACTGCATCAGCTTGTTGACAGTCAACTCTGTAAGAGCACGAAATTGTGTATTTCGAGCTGTATAACAAATTGCTCTCGCTCTGTTACTTATTAAATGATACGCATTCCACATATCAGCATCCATATCAGTTGTACATTGTTTAAGAGACTAAAAAAAAAAAAAAAAACAAAAATCATGCTTTGTACTTACACTGACTTATACAACAAAGTTACACAATATTCTGTCACATGCACATATTTTTAAGACATGCACACTCTTTTTGGCACTATTCGTTATTTATTATTTATGTTTCTAATTTTTTTAAATTAAAATCAAGCTTATTGCAGTATTAAAATTTGCATGAATCGAACATTGGTACAACATATGTGGCACTAGACACTACTGAAACCATAAACTTTGGGGAGGTCCACTAAAGTAAAGGGAGGGGGAAGTGCAGGTTTGAACAGGCATGGAATTTACCCCCTTAAACTGTGAAGGGTTCTGACATTCAGCATATCTTATTCTCGTACTAACAATGTAAGTCAATACTCTTGTCATTAACAAAAATAATAAATCGATAAATTTTAATAAATAAACTTTTAAACATACAAGAATAGAAGAATATTAAACATAGAAGAATATTAAACATTAAAAGCCACAGAAATATAATAAATATAATAAAATATTCTCTCTATTGTATATATAATTCAATTATTCTTGTATAAATTTTATGAAACAATAGAATATAGAAGATATCGACTCGATAATCGACAAATCGTAATGAAAATAACGAAACTCAGACATAATATAAACATTATTTATCGTAACATTTGATATTTTCATGACATTGACGTCAAAATCGACAATAATATCTGTATGCTATCTAGAAAGATTTTTTTTTTGCAAAGACGCTGCGTTTTATGAAGTACGTACCATTTCTTCAGTGCAGGGAAACATTTTCCTGCCTTCAACTGCTGATTGGCAGTTAAGGAGATTGACACCCAATTTTGCTAGCTCTTCCTCTGTCATGTCGGAGCATGAGGTTTTAATCTTCATAATAACCTTGTGCTGACAAGTCTCCAATGGGGAAGACACTTGAATATCCGTGAACTTGGAAGCCTCTTGAAGAAATTTCTCATCCTCTGTCATTGACTCATAAGGAATCGAGATCAGAGGCACACCATCAGCGACAAGGACATTCGAATCATCTGTTTTTTTGCTCCATAGCCAGTCCAGCATAGATGTGCTACCAATTTTACAATTAAATGACAAGATAAATATTATCAAAAGAAGTCTACACTCCATTTTGTATCTGACTTATTGATCTGAAATAAGAACCAAGAACAACTAATTGATTGATCTGAAATAAGAGAGTAGTCAAGAATAACTTAAACTGTTCCAAAATTTATCAATGCTAAAAATCTAATTCATATTAAAATCACTATAATTTTCAGTATTGACATTAAATTTTGGAGTCTGAAGTTTTATTTAACCCTTAATATACACGATTGGGTGATTTGTATCCTGTACATTTTTTTTTTCGAAAAATTAGAAGCACAAGTAATTAGAATATTTATATACCATTTTTTAAATACACAATCTCATATATAAAAATTTTCTAAAAATATTAAAATATATGTAAAAATCACTTAATAACTCTTGTATATTTGTTAAAATAATGAAAATTAATGAATAATCCATCATGTGTATTAAGAGTATACAAAAATCAATACTGAAATACATAATTACCTAAAAGTTCTAAAACTATCGATGAGCCTTGACAATAATTAAGATAAATAATGCACGATCATCTGTTTCTGTTGAAGACTGATGTTACAAAACTGCACCACTAAAAATAGACAGTCGTCCGCTCCGGACGAACTGTTGTCCGCGTCGTGTAGTTTCACTGACAACGCGTCAACGTAAGAAAAATTGCGACAGGATCTCTCGGGATAAGCGAGTGATGGGGTGTTTATCCGTTTCGCAAATTCAAACGCGATGACAAGTACTTTTTATGTGTTTCGTCCGTGTGCTCCAACGGTTGCGCCGTTCAAAATGCGCAAATGGCGATCAAGGACGGAGTCATCTGCGCGGTTGTGTCCGTCATATCGTTTTTACTTTTCTCATTCTGATTTCTCATCGTACAACCACTGCGAGATTTGCGTTTTATCCGTTTCTGCGTTCTATCCGTTTTTTGCGTTCTATTCGATTCTATCGCGAAAGGAGATCGAAGGGATCTTCGGAAAATTTATGATGAAAACGTTGAAAATCATCGTTGCATTCTGCACTTTTGAGATGAGGAACGCCGGAATGGGCCAATCGCGAACGCGACAACAAGTGTCCAATTCCACCATGTTCTATGAACTTTTGAAAGCGACCAATTATATGGCGCGCGCGCGCTCGTTGATCGTTCTGAATCAGGATTAGCAAGGAGTCGAGTCGAGAATTCACAAACTGTAAACTAAATATTTTATTTTCCAATGCACAGTTATTTCGAAACACACACGAAACGCACTTGTATGGTATTGTATACGATGATATCTTCGAGGATATATTTTATATCATCATTTTATAGCATCAGCCGCCTTTTCATTTCTTCTCTGGCACAACCTCGCTGATGCCGTACATACCAGCTAACAAACGCCCGTGAGCTGGAGGTACCGGTTCCTTAGGTGGTAAATATGGTCCTTTGTCGCCCATATATACATAGCTTTAGAATTTTTTAAGAAAAATTTTCGAAGAAAGATGAGAACTGTTTTTTTTTTGTTATATTACAATATAATTTTGTTATGTTACAATATAATTATATTATTATTATTGTAATTGTAAAATATATAATTATAATATAACTTTCATTATACTATTATAATGAAATATTATACTATTATTATTCAATATACTATTATAATGAAAACGTTGAACAAGTGATTTATATTCATTTTCATTAATGTAGATTAACTGTAATCTCGATTTAATTTAAAAAACTGTTTATTTTTTTTCTAATTCTAAGAGTCAGAATTAGAAAGAATAATAATTTTTAAAATTAGAAAAAATAAAGAGTGAATTAAATCAAAATTAAAGTTAATCTACAATGAAATGAACTTATGACATGTTAATTTTTTTTAACTTACTTTTTATCCTTATCTAATGTTTAAAACTAGAAAAAAATAAAAAGTAAGTTAAACTAAGAATTAAACTGCATTTGTAAAAACGAATATTAGTTCTAAGAATTAGAAAAAGAGTATATTAATCTATATTAATAGAATCAGGCATTAGCCTTGCATTATATCAACATTTAAAATATGTATACGAAAAGGATACGGCAATCTCAAGATCCAATATGCACTCTGGGAAAGCTTGATCGGTTCCTCACATCCAGTGACGAATATCGGGCAAGGTGGAGGACCAGGTTGAACCCGAGGGTTCAATGTGACGTGCACTGGCGCTTTAGGTGTCACTACATGAATTCTCATCAGCTGAGCGATTAAGGGTTTAGTTTGCCTAAAACAAAAAAATGAAAAGAAAAGGAAATATGTACTTCCGCGTTAAATGGGTTCATATATGAATCATATTTCATTAAACCGAATACGATTGGGTTCTACGAACCTGCAAGGGCAAGGAAAGTACAGAGGCATATCAGCGGTACTGGACGTCACCTTGTTTCCACTGTCTTTCACTATGCCACTTCCAGTCGCTTTTAGTACCTTATCGGGTGCAGACGCCATAAAGCGATGTCCACGCGGACACTCGTATTCCACCCCGACAAATATTTTCACCACGAATTCTTTGCCTCCTTTCGATTTACGACCACGTATGGCGTTCATATTCTGGAAATTCTTGCCTCCTCGTGGGCAGTAACCTCCGTGATCGCCCACTAGCGGCCACAGTGGATTTCGTTCTTTCTGATGCTCCAGTCTGTAATGGATATTTATTTTTCTTATCTCTGTTTCCATCAATATAAATTAATTTTAATATCGGTTCGATTTATTTTTCATGTTTTTTTGATCTTTAGAACCAGAAAAAGATGAAGAGAGAGTAAGTTAAATCAGATTAAACTTAATCTATATTTTATTAGGAACGAACATTAGAAAATTTTTCTATAAAGAACCGGTATATGTAGACAAAACTTTCTCCTCACCTAACAGTCACGTCCCATGGTAGTAAAAACGCGGAGGTAGGGAATACTCCGATCTGATGCTGCAGTCCCAAATTGTGAGAGTAAAGACTACTCGGTCCAAGGCATACCAGAGACCAATTGGAGAATTGCGGCAGTAAGCCGGCCGGTGATTCAGTGTGTAACATTCCAGGTAGATATTCTGTCGTGGATGGTTGTCTAACCAAAGATTTGTCTATAAAACGCATATCAGTATAAATTTTTAATTAAATACTTGAATTCATCTTAAGCAGAATGACAGATCCCAATAATATTAGAATGAATCGTACGTTAAAATGAATTATAATTAATTAAAAAAGTGACTTTTAGTAATTATTTCAGAGCCATGATGTCACGACTTGGGATACTTCTGTAGCGATGAAACACCTTTAGAATTTTCTGCATCGCTATCAGTGACTTCTATAACAACTTTGTGCGAGTCGCTCGGTGTCAAACTTGTTTTATTGCTTAATCTCGGAATATCTCCTTCTATTGGATCACTCGTTGCCGATGATTGACCACCGCTACCATAATCTGTATTTTCATCTGAAATATTTTTAGATATTATACACTCAATAAAAAAACATTCCTTTTATTGACTATTACTTGCCATTCAAAGTATCGGTTCCTAAACTACAAGCTTGCGTGTCTTGTGGTGTGGAAGATCCATTGCGACTGAAGGAATCATGACGTTTCGTTGCTGAAAATAACTGCGCTGCTCTATAGATGAAGAAAAACAAGAAAATAAATCAATATTACTGGGAAGAAATTTTTTACAACACGAATGCTGTACCTATAGTTATGTGTGCTGGGTTGAAACACGGGGAACTGTATGCTTTCTAGTTGTGCGCAACCACATTGTTTCGCTAACATTTGAAAATAGTCATGATTTGCTTGTCTCAGACTGAAGGGATCTTCTCTCGAGCCTTGGACCCTACCGCAATTGCAAGCGCATACATATCTTACGCCACTGCAATGCTCTCTAACAGGTAATTCACTGTAGATGAAAATAAAGATAATTAATATAGTGAATATAATGCCCATATGAATATGTAATAATTTATTATAAGAAAGCATGCCTGTCGTCCTCTCTGGGCTCAGTTTGTTCTCCACCTCCCGCACCTTCGCTACCTCCTCTGTGAATAGGATTCGTACAAGGATGACCGGTGAGTGACAATACTTCACACATTTGTCGACCAGCTCGCCAATGCTTGTCACATTCAGCTTGTAATTTCTCATTAAATTCTTCGAACAATGGACCGCGGGCATGCATTTCAAAGACTGCCATTGCATGTGCTAACTTCGATTCGTGATACGCTCTAAAAAGTAAAAAAGTTTTTGGGACGTGATATAGCCATCGCATCTCAAACAACTTTACCTTGTATAATGCTGCGGTAAATTTTCTTGATACGCTTGTAAAGCTCTCGGAAGTACTTTGCTACATCGACTTTTACTAAATTTCACATCGGTATCTAATAAATTGTGAAGCATCAATAGTTCTTTATCTGTTCCGTAAATAAAGTAATCGAAAACTTTGTTTGCTACTTGGCAAAATATGTTTAAAGTAGGTATCTGAAAAATGTCACTCAGTTTTTGTTTATTTTATTGTAAAACATTGTTTTAATATTATTATTATTTAATAAATATTAATAATATAATATTTAATAAATATCACATTCAATATTATATATATAGCATTAGATTAACTTTTATTATTTATTTTATAATTATTAGGTGTGGGAAAAAGATCGTGGCGTTTTTTTAACGCCATCTAATGGGAAAAACGCCACGAACTTTTTCTCACACCTAATATATACCTCAAAATGGGC